GAATATTTAATACTCGAAGATGAATCATTGTCTGAATAAGATCAAGTATACATGTTCAGTTTTCGACTTTCGAATTCAATACTTGACAATGAATATCAGGTACTATATTATTCAACATCATACATTGTTCTCGATTTAATGATTGACGATAGAATAATAATTTCTATTAATAAACGAAAAAATTGTTATTTCGAAATAATTCTTTTTAGAGAACTTGTCAATATTTTTCAAGAAAGACGTACTGATAAGAGACCAGGAGCTTGATCAAGTAAATTTTGTAGTTGATATTGACAATTTGCGTCAAGATTGTCTAATAGTATATCGAGTGAGACTAGATGATCAAGTCTCAGAATTAGAGACTAAAAAATAGAATTAATCGGAAATTCTATTGAAAGATGTTGAATATACAAAAATTGAATCGAATTTGAAAAAGATAAATCCAATGAAGAAAGTTTATACATCAAACTATGTGCACATGCATCTGATTGATGATTATTAGGATAGGATGGAATTGATTTCAATTGAAGAGCTGATAAATAACAAAAATGATCAAAAGCATATGATAGAGTATAGAGATTGACATATCGTTTATCTGAATTCCAATCATATTGAATAAACCAACAGCGTTCGATAAGCGTTGAGAATTATATCAACGTTTTATTCTTCGTCTGGCAGATCGGGTAAATCTAGATGTATTAAAAATTGTAATCCTTCAAAGTTTGATAAATTATTCCGAACTATTTGTTCCCAAAACCTTCCATCAATAGATGGATATGTTGGATTAAGTTCCACCTTGAAATGATGTAAATTCGGCATATTTCGTAAAAAATTACGGAAATTTTCATGATATAGATTAATTAATATTATTAAATTTAAATGCATTATAGATAAAATTGGTTCAAGTTGATCTATTTGTATATGTGAACAATTCTTGACTGGTAGATAACGAAAACATGATGTATGTGCGGTAGAGAAATATTGCATTCTCGAATACCGAACAAGTATAAATATTCGATTGTTGTTGAAATTACACTTGAATTGATACAAATACCTTGATCACGACGATAACTATCGACAAAATGATGTGATTGTTGATATTTATAATCAATTTTCATAGAAAAAACAATAAGTTTAGATCAACTCCAAATACAATTTCCATAAGAACTTTTCATCATTCGATTTTGATAAATATGGAAAATAACATCGTCCAAAAGTTAGATGAGTAAGATTGTATTCATCATTGGTCTCCGATCGAATATTCGATAGAAACAGAGATTTTAAATGAACGAATTGATGAAAATGCAAAACTATATGTAAAAAAATTGTTCTATTTGTCCAGGTGTATCATCATTATTGCACAAACAAAGTGATGTTATTCGATCGACAATAGTGTGTGGATGTGGAGTTTGAGTGGAGATGAGACAATTATTCTCATCCACAGCTACACCCTGTCCTCTACACCAACCTCCTTCTAGGATGGATATTTTTTAAACGAATCAATGTCTGGCCTATCTACTATATACGTTTGGACAAGATAGATATACGACAGAAAAACATCTGTAAAAATTTCACATTTTCTTTTCAGTATACAGATGATCGTATCTCATTAACCATGTGTTATAAGCACATACTCTTGTAATCTTTTCTGAGTATCATTGAAAGTTACTTATGGTCAAAAGATAGAGTCAATAGCTCAGAATTAGTTCGGGCATTTTTCTCAGTAGATCTGAACATAGCCAAAACATAGGTTTGCAGAATAATTAGACAATAGTTTTAGTGGACTCTCTTCCAAATAAATCTGAATTACATTTGTTTTCTTTGACGTAGAAATTAATCTTTATTTATATTTTCAATTTATAAAGAGTAGAATTCTAATTATTCAAATAAATATGAAAGAGACCCTTTTTCAAAGGAATTTACAAAAGCATCCTTCTTTACTGAATTTTTTTGTTTTTCAGGTATGTTAGAGGTTCCATATATCAATAAAGGCTAGCATCTGATACTAATTTCTACATACAACACTTATGACACTTACTGCATGAAAAATCCATGAGACAGTGCTGAATTTTAAAAAGACTTGTATGATGAAGTTGCACCAAAGCTTTAAAAATAAGTACTATAGGATCACAAATTTTTGCACTTGTGCTCGAACCGTACTAAAATTTCTTATCCATAATCTCGATACGCGCAACCAATGTTATATGTACCATTCAAATTTATATGTTACTTGCACTTATAATATTCCTCATCGTATTCGATTCGTACTGACATTTGCGTTTGATGTAGATAAAAAGAAATAAAAAAAAGAATGTAAAGCATACAATGTTGTTACACAATCACATGTACAGCTGGAAAAAAAAGAGCACAACTCACTTTCTACAACAGAAATGAACGAAGAAAAAAACATTTACCGGTTCGAGGTGCAAATCGTTCTTTCTAGATTGTTGATTCCAACAAATGACGTAAGCTTTTTTTCGTAGTTACAAGCACATGATAGTGTCTTCGAGAGTCCAACGTCATATTTATAAGTGCATTTCTTTCTTTTTTTCTGCTTAAGAAAAAATCGATCATTTTCTTTTTCTTTTTTTGTGTTCTACGTAATGGTAAGTATATATACAGATGACATTGTCAGAATAATTATTTGCCTATTCCTTTTAACATGATTCTTAAAAGTGTTTGATCTGATCCGTAGTATTGAATGCAAATTATTCATTCTGGTGAGTACATTTTTAAATTATAGAAGAAAAAATGAATGATCCTTATGGATATTAGTTTTGTTTTTAGAGTTCGCAAACCTTGTAATTAGAGTATGGCGCAAATTAGAAGATACTTTTTACTATGGAAAGTAAAAAATATGTATATCGAGCCTTCGTTGAACCACTTGCTTAATGTTTGTCATCGGTTTTCAGAAGAAAGAGTAATGACCATCACTTCGTCTTTCAATAGCTCAAGAATGAAACGAGCTAGAGATCTGAAGTTTTGAACATTATATACATAAATAGTTATTGTATCAAATCATACAGAAGACCGTTTGCATATGTTTTACATGTTTGTACAACATAAATTTTCTAAAAGTTGTTTTGTAATTCTTCTAAGCTCTATAGCAATCTAGATGTTCAAAGTAGTTAAAAATTGATACGTCAATTTATTAACTATTATCTATTTTATTCTAGTGACTATTTTGAATTTCGAAATATTTGTTTCCAAAAAGACGAGAAATGAGATTGTGTGTGAAACAGATAGTGACAAAGTATAATTTTTGTCAAAAGTCCTTAGTCGAAGTGTACTTATTACTTGATCTGTTTTCCATGTAACTTCAATTTTTGTCTTCATGTAGAAAAGCTTGTTCAGCATTTAAAAGAGTCATTGCAACAAATTAGATCATAGTTCATAACTAATTATATAGGTTGCCATTGAATTTAAAGAACTACGACGAAATGTTTAGAAAATCCAACATTTTAAAGCATTTACTTATGGCATGATGTAGTCGTTGGTTATCTATGCAATTCTGAGAACATCACTCTCAAGCTACTACGAAGTCATCACGGTCATTACATTTTCTTACGATCATAATGTTTGTTCTGTAAGTTCTTGAGCTGACTTGGGATAGTTCCTTTCCCAAATGTTCGTTCAATCTCTTGATTCTGCTTGATATGTTTTATTGAAGACATTAAATTTCATAAATTACTTGTGTAATTGTACGAACATTCGTACAAATAGACTAGTTTGATTATATATTCTGATATTTAACGGAAAAGTTATCATGTTACATTTCAAAGTGACCAATTAAGTTTTCGAGTAAGTTACTAGAAACCTACATATATTACCACTATTAATCGAATATTTCTGTTTTTAGAGTCTCTTCGAATTAACACATCGATCTTCATGAATACATGTAACTGTCTCTTTTTAAAAGCAAAGTTATATTAATAGAAACGTGTGTTTATGAGTGTGAAATTTTCAACTATCATTTAACTAGCTCCATAATAAATAAACTAATGGTGTTTCTTGTATTATTTGGCAGGCTATCAGTAATTCTTTATAGCATGTAGATGGTGTTGCCGTGGAACGTTTGACTAAATTTAAATTACTCTCACTAAATTCTCAACATTTTCAATTAATAATTATTTAAAATTAAGCTTCACAGTGATCTTATCCATAAAATTATTAAATGTGAAAGAAGAAAGAGATGCACAGATGATGAGAAAAAGCATATACACAGGTGTCTAAACATATATTGAAGAGTGTGAGTGCGTGGGTGTCGATGTGGGTGTGTGTAAAAAAAAAAGACTCACATTCGAATCCACATCCATACCTTACGGTGATTTTACATGAGGAAAAGCTCTTACTCAAGACGATAGTTTCCTGTCTTTACATGCAAAAATAAAAGATAATAAAAAACATAGGATCTGTCATTATTTCTGGCATCATTTTCGTGCTTTGTCATCTTCTCGAGCCATGAAGCTTGAAATCGACACGACAAAAGTTAGTGTTATTCTAATTAATGTCTAGCCGATGTATTTATTCGTAGCCCACGATGTTATTAAACGAGTACGATCTTCAATCTTTTAAATGCTGATATATTTCATCATTCTGGATCAAAACGTCATAATTCATACTTTATCGGTCGTAATGTACTCCAAAGTGCTGATGTAAAATGGTTCTCTATTGACACTCGTACACGTCATTTAAAATAACTGCAAACCTTTTGTAACTCTTTCGGCTGATGGGTGCATGTGGATATGTGTAACAATAAGACTCGTATCCAAACACACACTCACAGCCGCACTGACACACAGATACATACATAGATATGAACATTATATTTATAGATAAGCAATCCCTTAGAAGAACTTCATCAGTATAACTGTAATCAATTGAATATTTTCTAAAGGAACGGTCACTATTCGATTCATTCTTATTACTATAATGATTGAATACACTTCAAACCTTGTTTCACTCTCATGATTTAGCGTATAGTTTTTCAATCAACTATTGATATACATATAATCTTCACGAACGATCATTCAGTGATCATTGAAATTTTCAACAATACGTTGTTAGAAATAGACGCTTTTTCAAATGGTGGCGAATGAATACATACTATGTCATTATAAATTCAACTTCTTTTTTTTTTAATATAAGCACTCATATTTGTACTACAAATGCACTTAATAATTTAAATTTTCATTTTAGATAATATATTTAACACTTAGTTTTTGGATGTTTTCGTTGTTCTAGATAATTCAGACGCTTTCACCATTTTTCATACGCTGCTCTTCAATTCAAGTACATTTAAATTTATACATCTCAAACAGGTTCAAAATATTACCAATCATTGTGCTATAAAAAAAACTTATTTCTTAAGTTTACACTGATATAGGAATTATTTTTTAAACGAATTTTTTAAAAATGGTTGGAATTGATGTAAGAAACAAAAATATTCTAGATACAAAATACACTTGCCCTAAGTGTCTTTTGATATTACGAGATCCTGTACAATTGAGCATATGCGGTCACCGACAGTGTCAATCATGTTTCAATACTCAACAAGGGTAAATTTCACCAAAACACAGCATTGATACTTTTCATTATTTTCTTTAGAACACCAATCACATGTTCACAATGTCAAACAGAAATACCACACGATCTAGTAAGATATCTTTTTTTTTCTTTCAATAGAGCACAATGTTTTGTTATTTAGGTAATGATCGATCGAGGTTTCAAAAGTGATATGCTATCGCTTCTCATAGAATGTATTTTTTGTCAATGGAGTGGCCTATTAAATAGCTACCAAGTAACATATCCTATACTCATTCTAGTCCTCAACATTTTATTCTTTTCTTCTAAAGGAGCATCTCGATCAATCTCATCCAAATCCAAAATGTGAACATTGTGGAGAACAGTTCAACTCAGTCAACAAACTCAATGAACATAAAGTCTTGGAATGTCAAAAACTGACCATCATTTGTGTGTTGAAAGATTTTGGTTGCAATGAACAGGTATATTTATTCATTGGTTCAAAGTGATCTTTGAAAAATCTGCTGGTCTATTTTAGATTATCCGTGGCAAAAAAGAAGAACATTTTTAACGAAACCACATCAAGACGCAATACTTAAAGTTGTTCGTCAAATGAGCTCACAATTACTCGATAGACACATGAACACGGATGTTGCTCGAGCAACAAGTACAACAACTAGTGATCCTGCATCAGCTCAATTACAGGAGTTGTATGAAATATTGAATATCTTGGCAGGTGGCATCGAGCCATTGAATGATGATGGACGACGTCTCGGCAGTGAATCACTTCAATGTCAAATTAAACTTCAAAAATTGGCAGAAAACTTTTCGCAAGTTAAGTTATCTATCGAAGAATCAAATAGTTTTTTGGAAGGAATGAAACAAAATCAAGAGATTCTCAATCAAGATTTAGCATCATTGAAAGAAAGAATCAATGATATGCAATATGTTTCATATGATGGAACATTTGTATGGAAAATTACAAACTTTCAAGAAAAAATGAGTAAGTAGAACAATCACTTCTTCCGAATGATAAAAGTAGAATACTTTTTCAAAAGAATAATTAGAAAATAAGACGGAACTCGATTTAAATAACATTAACAAATAATAAATACACGGTTGAATAGTATAATTTGCATAATATATAATTATCGAAAGACGCAGTGTATAGGAAATATATCAATGTGTCGATGAGATGAATCATTAATCTTATCGATTCGTCGAATTTCTTTATTACTTGCTTCTACTCTTCTATACTTATTTGTTTTACGTAATTTCTAGCTGATGCACAATCTGAACGACAAACTTCAATTTATTCTCCACCATTTTATTCGTCACCTACGGGCTATAAAATGCGAGCGCGTTTATATCTCAATGGAGATGGCAATGCTCGTCGTACACACATGTCACTGTTTTTTGTACTTATGCGCGGTTCGAACGACCCCATTCTCAAATTTCCATTTACGTATAAGGTCACATTTTGTATGTACGATCAAACTCCAGCACAACAACATATTATTGATTCATTTCGACCAGATATTAGATCGAATAGTTTTAAACGACCACAGTCGGATATGAATATTGCAAGTGGCATACCAAAATTTTTTCCATTGGCAATGATTCAACAAGAAGGAAATCCATATGTTCGAGATGATACAATGTTCATCAAAGTGATGGTTGATTTTGGTGACATGCCTAAAACGCTTTTGCCTTACGCTCTGAGTCTTAATCCAGGCTTACCAACACATATTCAACAGACTATGATCCAACAGGAAGTGGAGCGTAGAGCTCAACAACAACCCCAACAGCAACAGCATACACCCACTACATAATAAGTATTCTATAAGGGTCCATCAGCTCCAGCTCATAAGCTCAGATCAAATGAGCTAATGAGCTGCGCTATGAAAAAAGATCAGTTTAGTTCTAGAAACCGATTGAACCATGGTTAATAAGCTGTCTATCACTTTCCAAGAACTCTTTGAGGATGTTTCCTATTGGTTTTCAAGGGCGACTGACGGATACTTCCTATTATTCAAATTCAATCAACAAGATATGTTATGACGCTTTCATTGCAAGATGTTTCTGAAGTTTCACATGTCATCTTAGAAGAATATTCAAATCTTATAGCAGTTTTTTAGGCATGTAATCAAAGACTTGAGCAGTTCTGTCAATATATGCAGTTTACCATTTTTGAAGACTAATCTAACTATATCACATACCACCATCAACAACATTCATCACATGATTTTCAGAATTGTAAAACTAGTGATCTTTTACTAAACGCATGATTATGCAGTAGCCTTTGTAAAAACGAGTTATCGTATTGTTTCAGAATATTCAATAGGTTTCTTATTGAATGAAATGTACAGCTTATTCTCGTTCAGCATAAATTTCTTTCTAATAGACTATAAAGGGCTTCAAAAAGTCCTCAAAATTGCAACGTTATGAAAGGCAAGAGTGCTAAATTGTAATCTCATGGACCGAGGATACGAACATGTATCGAAACCCTTATATCTAAACCCATACAATCACAGACACGACAAAACATAGCATTTGAAATATTATAGGAACTTCTTATAAATAACCTTTGAAAAGTAATAGGGACCAGGTCTAGATAGCCCTTGAAGAGTTATAAGAACCAACTTTTTATAGCCCTTGAAAAGTTATAAGGAATATCTCTAGATAGTTCTTGAAGAGTTATAATGATCAACCTTTGATAGCCCTTGAAACGTAATACGAACCGGCCCTGGTTGCCCTTGAAAAGTTATGGGAAATATCCTTTATAGCCCTCGAAAAGTTATAAGGACCATCCCTAGATAGCTCTTGAAAAGATATAGAGACCACTTCCTAGAATCTAGGAAGTAGTTCCTGTAACTTTTCAAGGATTGTTTTGGAGATGGTCCTTATAACTTCTCAAGGGCTGTTGAAGGGTAGCTCTTGAAAAGTTATAATATCTAATGTCCATTTCAAAAAGTAGTACGCTCCACCATTTGTTGAATAACTGAAGAACGCAAACAGCTAGAGATTTGCGGTTTTCTTCAATCGAAAGAGCAGATAGTGGAAGGTTTTTTTTATCTCCAATATTGTATAAGATGAGATCATACTAAAATCAAATCTATAGTTTTCGTGCGAGTAAGTAGACGATGTTATTTGTTAAATTTCATTGGAATGACAGATCGTTTTCATGCATTTTCTTTTTGTAATATTTTGCATAAATGACTGATTTTAATATGATTTCGTCTTATACACTATGAAGGAGAAAGACGTTTCCCTGTCTCTTCTTTCGATTGGTGAAAACTGCAGACGCCTAGCTGTTTGCATTCTTGAGTTATTCAATAAACAGTGGAACGCTCTATTTTTTTGAAATGAATAATTGGCCCAGATAATTCTTGAAAAGTATAGAAAGCTTATTAATCTCGGGTCGATCAGTTTCTATTAGGGAATGTTTTGCATAGTCCTTCAGATGGAAACCTTTACCGAGCTATTATACCCCACTGTTTAATTTATTATCCAAGCAATGGAGTAATTGTAAACAATATGTTCTAAGTTTATAATGATGATTATATTCCAGCTATTTCTTCACTTTTTCTATTGTTATTATTAATCATGCAAATTTTGTAAATTTGTGTACATAGTACAGTCACAGCATTGTCAGATGAGAGAAAAATTGTATTTACGAATTTTTTTGTAACATTTCTTTTTGTGTTGTAAAGCATTTTTCCGTTGTTTTTTCGAAAATTGTTAAACCATAAATAAAATGATATTATTTGTTCGATTTGTATTTAAAGAAAAAGATTTTCTTTCAACAATAAGCGTATACTTCAATATGAAAATAATTCAACGTTTATTTAGACTTTTGAGAAAATTTAGGGAAAGTTATGATCTGAAGATCAACATTACTAAGGATGTGGGTGTAGTTGGGGTGGTGTCGATGTGGACTGCGAGTCCTTCAATTGCTCACACCAACACTCACATCCACACCCTCCACAAAAAAGTCATTTCAGACAATAATGTAAATTACCAACTTCTTCGCTTGTATAACTATTTATAACTAATAAATGAGAATTTTAGATCATATCGGTAGCGGTTTAATCAATATATCAAGTGATGCTACTATAGAACTCGAACAGATTTTGTGTTTCAGAAAAAAGTTTTCTACAAACGAAAGCAATATTCGAATGTGTAAAAAGCGGAAACCACATATCGGAAATATTGGTGAGAGTGTATCCGGTGTCATAAGTGTAGAAATCAAAAGTTCAATTCAACTATAGCTTCAGCATTTAACATTCAAAATTTCAAACACACTTATTTCTCTCGATGCGACTGAAACTTGAGTTGAATTCAAATTTGACATGTATGATACTCTATTCAGTCAAACAAAACCTTGTAGAGTTTGCCCATGGTATCCCTACTTATGCAGACATGCAATGTGCAACAACTAAATGACAAGTATCAAAGAACAGTGTGAAATCAGTGGATAGCATAAATACCTACTTCGTTCAGAAAAGTGACACTCATTCGTAGTCACCAGATTGATCGTGATTCAATGAAGTTCTGGTTCTCAAAGTGAAGCTTGTCGTGAGTTTCCAATATTATTAGTACTAGTCAGAATATCATATACTAATTGAATGACAAGTACTTCAGTGAAAAGATTATTTAACTCAGCTGGATTGTTATTTACTAAAAGACGAACACGTTTATTACGAAGCCACACTAATAGCATATTATTAATTGGTGCATATGATAAATTCAACAAGAAAACAATAAAAAGGAACCTATCCCTTCTCGTTCTCCATCCGTTTATATTGATTAAAATTCGAGTGTTGAATTTTTAAATTTGTTTTATTATTGTTTTCTTCTGTTTATATCTGATATGTATTGCTGTTTATTAATAATGTGATCTCTGCTAGAAAACATGTGATAAGATTTATTAATAGTATTATATTGTCAATGAGTCTTATATAGAAAGTAAGTCTATGGTATTCAACATTGTACTTCATATATAGATAAGATTTATTCCTATCATATATGTAATGGAAAGATCATCTTGTAGACCAAGCGCAGGCGGGTTCTTTGTCCTTCGGGGACATGTTTTTTTACACTCTGCTGCTTATGCCGCAAAATAGAATCACTGTGTGACAATGTGCTACAGAACATAATGCAGAATGAAACAAACCACCTTGTGACGTTATCTGTTATGAACTATACCATTTTTGATACGAAAAATGTATTAGCATAATGCAAAGATAAATGTGAAAACGGTTAGTGAAACGTATTTTTATTGGCTCATTGTGCTTATTAATGATCATTTATGAATAAATCTTTCATTGCTCTGTTAAATGACTGTGCTTACAAAGCCAATTCAACAAATTCTAAAGGTTATAAAATAAGTAACTTTTAAAGCCGTGTATATAATGAGCATAGTCGCTGTTCATGATTCGATCATATTGTTACATGACATTGCATATTTTTTGCTTTGTTATTGCTTAGATTATTTCTAAACATCCTAAATTTACGGCATTTTTCTCGTTCTTTGTATTAGTTTCAATACGAAGGTTGATTGATCCGAATCAACTTCTATTAATTGTTGAATACAAAGTTCCTATATCTATATTGTTTTATTTGATAGATAATCTTAACAATAAAGTGAGACTTTTTTGAAGGGTGATTAAATATAATTAATAATAAAAGTACGATATTTTATAGTCAAGAAACATTCAGAAAACAAGTTCTTGAACATATCATGCTAACGGGTCGGGTAGCTAGATGGATATGACGTTTCATCAACACGATAAATTTGTTCTTCTTCAACAGCAGATGGTCCTGATGGAAAACCACCGACACTAAATGTAACCTTCGCAAATGTACCATCAGGTAAGCCAATCTAAATAATTAAAAATGAAAAATAAAATATTGTTCTATCTATTTGGAATATATGTTTTATTTACCATAAAATCGTATATCATAGCACATGCATTCATTTTACGAAGTGTTACTGGTTTCAATACGAAACTAGATGGAATTGACGGAAATACTTCACGTACTTTTTGCTCAATACCTTGCGAATGCTGTTAACCAAGAAAGAAAAGTAATAGCCCTAGGAAAAAATAGAATCAACTAAATATGACTTACTTGTTTATAAAGTTCTTCATCTTCATCAGTCACAGGATGAAATTGAAAATCCATCTTTGTACGAATTTGTCACAACCGTTGAATATTATTAAAATTGATGGTAACTATCTATATGAACGAAAAAAAAACAAAATTACCGATTTATATATACATTGATCTCCACTAGGTAGGCACGTATGCTAGTTTTATTTTTTTTCGTGCTATAATAATAAAAATATAATATTCATAAAGTACCCCGCAAGGACATATCCTTGATGTTTTTTATTTCTAATGAGTATGATTAGTTAAACATGTGAAGAAACATATGATTGTTTTAACAGCACAAATCGATTCACTTTTTTTCTATCGATGAATGCAACATTAGGTTCTTTCCTTTACCTATTTTATTCATGCAAAACGATGTAGAAAATATTATGAGTCAAAACAACATACTCAATATGAATAATTCGAGTCAAATATTGGCAATTCTAACTTCAAGGCAATTTTGTTTTCGTCCTCTTGATAGATGATTTGATGAGGCGTGAACTACTAATAATGATTGGTCGGTCTTCACAAGCTTGAAACAGGTGGTTTGTTTTCAAAAAAAAAAATTTTTTTTTTCAAAATACGCACAATTTTCAATGCATTTCTTCTTGTCAAACGATTACAACCGCTGATCTGGATATCATCACAGATATGATAATAATAAAGTTATAAAAGAACTAAATTTATTATTCATTCCAATGAATTAATGAAATACTGTAGAAAATGAACATTTACTTTTTGGAATATACTATACTGGACAGAAGCATACATGCTAATAAGATTGCAACTAATGTCCACTTCAAAAAAAAGGGCATGAGTATTTTTTGAGTAACTTTTTGTAGAAACAAAATGAAGAGAAGCGGGAGATGAATTGAATCATATATTATATCTTTTTTTTTATCTATCTTTTTGTTCAGTTTTCAATCGATCTTTTTGAAAACTAGCCTACACTATTGAGTAATTGCAGTGAATCTTCAATTATCCGATGTGCATTCGAATCGCCAATCGAAGATCTACGACACTACGTAAGCCTTCGATTTCTATACTGAACGTTTAGGAGTTCTAGATACCCTACCACAGAACTTTCAGCCGATTTTCTAAGCGATTGCAGCGAAAAGAAAACACTTTTTTCTTTTTATTTAATTGATAAATAACAATTTTTCTGGTACCTACTTTAGAAATGAATTTAAAAAAATTCGAAAAACATCTTGCCGAAACTATTAGTACATGATTCGATGTGACACCATCTCCTTTTTTCATCAGTGAATAATACAACACTCTATCTTGATTTTTATCAAAATTTATTCAAAAATACCCATTTGCCTTTTTTTTCCAAATGGCATTAGTTCCTATCACTTTTCCACTATATTTAAATAATTTGAAAAGCTCAGTAACTAATTTTAAAAGATTCAGTATCTAATTTATTTTGGTACAGTTTTTTATTATTTTATATCAATGAAAATAGTATAATTACAATTAACAGATGTTTTTCGGATCAGTAATACTGTTTTAGTTTTTGATAGTTTACTATGGAGTCTTTTATCAACAATTTTAACGTCTTTAGCAGCACATGACGGTTTGAAGCAGTTGAAGCTAACTGCCATAACAATAGTGTTTACATATAAGTTTTTATCGTTGATATAACATCATGACTTTCTGTTATGTGTATTAAGGATACGTCCAAATACGTGAATACATCGCATGTCGTTTTTTTACCCTTTAACTCAAATACATCAATTGTTGGATTTTTCTTGTATGTTCTCGAATGTTATGCACTACACTTTCATTCTTTGAGTAGTGCTTTCTTGCTATTGTGTATTCGTTTTTGTCATGACACATACTCATGTATATGTGTCATCGTTCTTGTTATCGCAGTTTGTTATCGTGCTGTTCTAGTTCAGTGATGGATCTGAGATTTTTACAATAGAGAAGTACAACTAGGGAACAAATTTTTTTTGCTGGAGTTGTAGTTTTCTCAGTAGCATTATACGCAAAAAATTTGAACAGTACGTCATATGAAAATGTATGAAGCGCGCTAACAAACGCATGTTCAAATGTTATTAGAAAGCATTTACTCAAAAAAACGACGGATTTGGTAGATGATTATGTTCAAACAACGTGTCATTTGTAGTTCATTGAAGATAGTATCAGCTCATTTTAACCCCTTTTCTTCTACGAAAAATTGAGAAAATTCTTATGGAAGAGGGGTGATCGCTCGCAGAACCCTCCAAACTCTCTACTGTTCTAGTTCTCTTCCTCTTTTCTCCTAACTTAGACGATTTTTGTCATTCAATAGACTGAACTCATGTGGAGGAAAAACCTTAGCCATTTGTTGCTTTTTGAAGACGAATAATATATTCAATATATATAAAGAGAAATAGCTGGTAGATAATCTTAATGTTAGTGACGAGATTGAAGACTTCACTACTTACTAAATGAACACGTCTTCTAGGCTAGATTTTACTTCTATGTAAAAATATCAAGAATTAATCATGTATTTGATAAGAAATAGCAAAATTTCAATGGGTAGTCTTTCAGATTATGAAGATTGAAACAAAAATAGGTACAATCCATCATAATTTTCTTTTTGCTTAACATTTTATCCTGCAATGGGTGCACGCATAGTCAGTACTGAAAATATAGAATTCGCTGAAAAAACTACACTAATAAATAATTCTTTATTTTTGTATTACTTTAGAAATTATCTATTTAATATTTGTGAACACGAACAGGAAGAAGAAAGCACACGGAAGAGTTAAACAATCGAAACGGAGTGATATCACTGTCTTAATGTATCCTTAGAGTATCTGCATATAAATTTCATATTTCCAGTGCATATTGTGCGTTAGAACCGAACAGATGGAGAATTTCGCCTCTGATTTTCCTATTAGCAAAAAAAAAGTATACATAAGGTAAATTTTCAGTAATCAATCGTCTCTAAATAAAATAATATTTAATAATATACATTCTATTCAATCATAAATAACTCTTCTCATGTTGAGTTTTACTCAGTTAAAATTGAATTTATGCTAACTAAAACTAGATTTAAAGAAAATTAAAAGACGCAAATTTATAGAAATCGAATTTCAATTTAAAATAAGTTTCAATCTACAAAGCTTAAATTTAAATTTCTAAGAATTTATCTTTGGATTTATTAAATTTTTGTATGTGTAAATTGATCATCTCTAATTTAAAATCATAAATAAGTAAACATATTCTTCTGTCAAATATCTATACACCCACATACAACCCATACTCTATATTCAACATTGTTTCTGATTCAAATGGATAGTAAATTGTAACGAGTATCATCTAGAAATCCTCGTTATTAAGATGAATGGTTATAACATCATGATTGCATTATACATCCACATTTATACCCATAAATGAGTTAAAATGCAAGTTTTTGTTCGTTTTCTAATATTGTTTAGATTGATCGTTAACAGTATTTATATGATTATTCGTTTTTTTTATTATTATTTAGATAGGCACCGCTGGATTAAAATAAACTGCTTGAAATATATTTAAACTTCACTTATTATTACATTTGATTATTGAATAAAAAGAAAAACGAACGAGAAAAGAGGGGGAAAAAAAGTCAAAACACACTCATTGTCCAAATATCAATCAAATAGGATTCTGTTGGATCTTGTATGTATCCAAAGTTTTATGTTGTGACAATCGACAGGAGTTCAGTATCAAGACATCCTACGGAATGTGATGAAATTTAAATCTGTGATTCGTTGTTCTAGGTAGCTGATGCTGTTGTTTACTTAAATTGCTTGTCGTCCAAACAAGATTGTTTTTGCTACCCTTTGAAGAATCCATAGAAGCATCTGCAAGATTTTTTTCAGTAATCATCTCTATTTTAGTAGCAGGCTTAACTTTGTTTTGTGTACGCTTTTCTTGATTTCTAACTGAAAATAATTCTTCTGTGCCAACATTTTGAGTTTTAAAATGAAACGGGAAAAATTGTAGAATAATAATTGTATTACAAAAGAAAGCAGAAACGACTTCGGCAACGAAAGACACAATTTCATAGATGTGATCTTTCTGGTTAAAATAGAACCATTCGGTTGCCACTGCTACTGTAACAGTTGTTACAAATACATACAATGCAGATTTGATCCAAACACCTCGAAAACGATGATAAGAATCCGAAAAAAAATCAAACAGAAGAAAGTAGGCAATAGTATTTCGTGTCACTGCTGTATAATCGATGTTCATATGAATCGGTATGTATTTGGTAAGCAGAACTTCTAACCGAGAAATAAAATGAAATAAATGTTTATTTTCTACAACAATATGCGATTTGAAATTGTTCAAAACCCGACAATAAATAAGACCAATAGTAAGATATAGGTGAAGGACGAAAAAAGAAGCATAGATTACGATTTCGAATTTTTTTCCTTTATGAATATAGTAAATCAAGTAGCCGAAAATGGCTATTTCCGTGATTATCCATAGTAGAATATGGTAGACAGCCAATAAATATCGAGATTGAATCGGTGCACAATATTGAAGATAGACGAAAACAATAACAATAGTGGACAAGAGACCTTCGTAGGTGCGTCCTTCTGGGTTGTAAAAATAATGGTACCAAGCATCAAATACATAACAGCCTGATGAGAGAAACGGAAGAATGATCATGGCATAGAGAAAGAAACGATCTCGTCCATGTGCAGGTTTATGTAAATTACAACATGCCATTGTTCTAAGCGCTCAACTGTCACTCAGATAAAAATTTATTGGTATTTATGTGCAAGAAAAATTATTGTGTATGCCAACAAAAGATAATTCTCTACTGATTCTGAATGTGAAATTCGTTGAGAAGAAATCATAATACGCATAATCCTAATTTTAGTTTACTGGCTTCTTTTTGTTTACGTTTATATCTATGCATCAATTTTATTCTAGAATTTTTTAATTAAACAATCCATTGAAGGTGAAGCAAATGCATACTGCAGAAAAGAATCCTACTTTTTTTATGCTGAAACGAAATATATTTTACTTTGATTGTATTGATTCTC